AGTGAATAATCAATTTAGTCATCGCCAATGTGCCTATGGATGGTAAAAAAAAAAAAAAAACGGGTTAAACTGTTTTTTAATCTTTATTTTTATTGTTTTAAAACATTGCTGTCGCTAAAATTTCACAGAAACTTAAATTGTTACACTAATTAATTTTAACTTTCAGCTAAAAAAATTTATTCTAAAAAAGACAGTACTATGTAATTCTAATTAATTAGATATTATTACATTAATTAATTTTAATTTTCAGCCAAGAAAATTTATTCTAAAAAAGACAGTACTATGTAATTCTAATTAATTAGATATTATTACATAAAAAAAAAAGAAAAAATCAACAAAATTTGGCAACATTAATTTTTATCAAAAGTTACAACATTTTTAACCTTTTATTCTGTATTAGTTTTATATTTGTTGGTATTGAAAATCTAAAATTAAATATTACCACTATGTAAATCTTATTAAATAAGTTTTTATGATAAATTATTTGAAGAGCCAGAATCTTGAATCTGTGCTTTTAATAAATCTTTTATATGCCTTGGATGTTTTTACATTTTAAATAACCTTTTAATTGGTCAATTAAATAATGCTGTCTACTTTGCAATGTTTATATTTTTGATGAGACTTTATATAATTATGTTTATCAGGCTCTGTAAGTTTTGTAAGGCTTAACTGGATTTCTTTAATGGGAGTCTTCCACAAACATATGTCTTTGTTTTGATGAATTATTTTTTTATTTTAATTTTTTTTTTAATAATTAAGATGAGGCCCTGCTCATATCTTTATTTTGCAATTTATTTAGATAATTATAATAACTACCCAACTTGTACAAGACAAATAAATATAAATTACATGCAGAATAAGAGCTTAGACTAAAAAATTGGTCTGGGTTAACCAAAAACTCAAGCTAGTTATCTGTGACCTAAGCCTACTACAGTAGAGTGGTCAAGACTCACCTAGATTTGAATAGTTAGTATAAAGTTTGTAGGTATACTGTATTTGATTTATACTTTAGACTATTGTTTAAACTTTTGCTTGGCCTGTCTTTTTGGAGAGCAAGTATTGTTACTTTCTGTATGTAGTTGGTCTGGCATACCACAGAGATGGTTGTATATGAATCTTTGTCATTGTTGATAGGCTTGGTGGTTGGTCTGTTTGGGTATTGGAGATTGGTTGTATGTAAATATGTTAGTTTGTATTTTCCACTTTGCAAATTTGTCACAATAAGGTTTCCATATTTGTTTGTATATCTCAGAAGAAGTAAGCAGTATAGTTTGAATAATGATATCAGCTGCTTCCTTGTATTGTATATCAAGTGTTGATAATGTTTGCAGTAGATCAGAGAAGATTAGTCCTTTTAGAGTCATTAGCAATAAGTATAGCGAAGAAAGAGAATATTGGGAAAACTGAATATAGGGTGGAATTGGATAAAATTTATAGCAGTTCTGTGTGATGCAGAGGGTAGGTCTGAAAGAAGTTTAGTAATAGTTTTTGTGATTGAAGTGTGTATGATCTATTTGAGGGTATGGGGGTTCTGACATATAAGCCAGTGTATAGGTGAGTCTGGACTAGTACATGAGAAGCAAGTAGAAGTAAATTATTTTTTTTTTAATTTTAGTAATCATAATAATTACTAGTAATAAAATGGCATGTTTTATAGAGCTGGAGCCTTATGTCTTAGGTTCTAAATTGTGAACTTAGTACTGTAGCCTATCTAATATTATTAATATATTAATATAATAGATATTAAATTTCAATTTATTAATACAAATAAGTTAATCATTGATGATAAATTCTAATTCAGGTAGAATGTGTTAATTTAAGCAACAATTCAATATGTTTACATTAGTTAATACATATACAAACAGATGTAAGAATTCATAAAGCCATAAAGAAAGTAATTCCTGTTCTTTTGCCAATAATTGTTACTTTTTCCATTTTTTGCAATATATGATATATAAAAGTATTACTGTAATGAAGTTTAGTAAGAGCATGATCTCTTGATATTGCAAGATCTATAGTAAATTCCCTATCACCAATATCTATTATAGTTTTGATCACATAATTTCTTTTGTGTTTTTGCATTAGAGAAAAATATTAATATATCAAACTATTATTAATTAGTTGGTTTTATATAAACACATATTTTATATTCAATAATTGTCACAAAATACAATAGCTACCAGCATTTCAACACAAAGGGTTTACCTTTTTTTTATTTCTATTTTACTTAAAATGAAAAAGAAGAACTTGCTTTTTTTCTTTATTTTCTCTTTAATATAAAATACATTTTGACTAAAAATTGATTACACTATTACATCATTAATTTTACTTATATGCTCTTATACTCTTACTGATTATTCATTCTTTATGTTTTGCAGATTAATTTCTTTGAATTCTCTCTGATCTGTCCTTACAATTCTGATTAATTATTACAATCAATGATTGTGACCATGCCACATAATTATGAGACCCACTAAATTTTTTTCCTTTAATTTAGAGTCTATAGATTCTACAGGGGATAGTTGAGAACTTATTACAATTACAGAAGTAGGAGCTGAACATCATTAAAATTTCTATAAGTAAGGCTATAAGGTCTTCCACTGTGTTTCTCAGCTCCAGCCCAATTAATTACTGTTATTATAGTAATTATGTATAGTAATTAGTTTATGAGTCTAAACTGACTCTTCATAACACAAACCAGACAATTAGTTAGCTGAGCTGTTAGCAAGTTGAACTGTAAATTAATCAACTTAGACAACTGGCTTACAACTCTGTAAAACTGTTTATAGTTACTTATCCCACCAATTCCATTTTGATAACAATGTTTGCATGTGTTAATCACGGTGAAAATATTTAATTAGTTATACTAATTAGGCAGTTGATAGCAGCTTAGTGGCTTATATTATGTAAATGCGTGAATGCTCTAAATAGTGTATATACATGCTTACACAAATAGGTAGATCCTGTGCCAATAGCATAATCGTTTAGATTCAAATGTATTCATTTAGAAAAAAATATATATGTTCTCTTTGAGGTGAATTCGTATGAATTAGAATATAAAGGTTTAAAAAATAATTTGTTTATAAGATATTAAAATTTAATAAAGTTAAAAAAGTTCCATGTCCACTTTTAATAACCAAAAATAATAAAGTAAATACTTGTCTCCTGTAAATTTTGACTTGTAACTTTAATAAGCCTTCGTAACTCAATTCAATAGACTGAATTGACTTGTAACCTCGAATATTTTATTAAGACTTAAAATTTTGTGCAACTGTCTTCTTGCCTTCTCGGAACTTGGTCATATGAACAGTATTTGGAGATACATTTATCGAAAAGAAGTTTTAATTAGAAATGTGAAAGTAACATCCTCCCACCTCCCTTGGCATCATCAGCATCAGCAATTTTAAATAATAAAGTTTAATAGCTCATTGCACTGAGCATTTCTATATCATCCTTAAATTTCTATATCACTTTAGATATCAAATTTCTTTAATATCATTTTAAGGATTAAATTATATTGAGGATTGATCTTAAGACTGATTATCTTTAAATTCTATCTATAGCCCATTTTGTCTATTTAAACCATCCTTCCTATAAACATTGGAGTTTAAATTGGCACTATTGTCCATAATTGTTACCTGCTCTCCTATTCAACTGTTATATTTGGTGCTAATTGTGTAAATTGGACAAGACATTTCTCCCTATAAAATTAAAGAAATTAAAAGTCAAATTCAATTAATTTAAAAATAATATACATATATATATAAACTTATCTTAAATATTATGGCTTAACAATATAACTCTGTACCTCCAGTTAATTCAGTAAACCCCAACTGTATCTTTTTTTGGATAATCTGGCCCAACAACCCAACCTAGCACAATAGCTGCAGCAACCCCAGCAGTCTCAGCTGCCTTAACAACCTAATGTATTGACAACTTGGCAGCTCAGATCGGGTTGCTAGTTCAACAAATGCAAGCAGCTCTGGCTCCTCAGATTAATTATAATCCATCAAACTGGGAGTTAAATCTGGTGGCCTATTCTTATTTTCTGGGAGGGAATCAAAACCCCATGACCTGGCTTAATGATGTAGAGAAAGCCTTTGTGGCCAATTTAGTTACCAATGACTGTCATATTCCTGTTATCATCCCATATCTAAAAGATGCTACAGCTATGTGGTGGGCAACTACTCAGCATCCACCTAACCCTATCGATACCTGGGATAACCCTGCACAAGCAAACACTAGTTTCCATTCCTATTTTATTTTACAATTCTGTACCTCTAAATTAAAGGGCAAATAATTTGCTGAATTAGCCACCTGTAAGCAACAAGTTAATGAAGATGTCAATACCTATTATACCACAATTCAAGAATTGCTTTGAAGGATCAAGACTGGAGCCTAGCCATATTCAGAAATAGCCAAGACTTAGCTCTTTTTAAATGGACTATGACCTAATATAGTGCTGGCCATTGCTCCATTTACCCCAAACATATTACAGGCAACATACGATCGTGCCAAGACCTATGAGGGTGCCTGTAAACAAAACTTGCTCTATCTCCCTACCTCTATTAGCATTTTATATTCTTTGCAAGCTAGTTCAAATATACTTATTAGGATTGTACTTCTGAGATATTATTCAAATTATGATTAACATTGTTATTAATGTTAGTATTAGAAGTAGGATTA